CCCCCAATACCCCCCTCGCTACAGCCCCGCTGGCAGGAATCAAACTACAGAGTGTGTAATACTCTAATCTCTAATGAAACTTATAAATCATCTTGCATTAATGCAAGAAATTAGAGGATTTTAGATAAGAATCTTCTATGCTCTATTTCTCTGTCAAATTTTGTCTTCGGCCATGGGAATGAAAGTTGTAGATTTGCGTCCACCGCCCGCATGCCTCAAAGATACCGCCTAAAATTTTCATTATTTACAAAAAAATCATTATTTTCACAAATAAAGCAAAACTCAATAAAAATAGCAATAAAATTGTGTATTGATTACAATGAAATGAACATATTGCAATATGTTTGCCTTTAGTATGCCCTGACTGGAAAGTTATATATACATAAAAATACATAGTAATTAGCACAGCAAAGATTCCAGTCTTTATAGTATCCACACTCATATGAAATATTTACCGAAATCGCGAAATTGGCACACAGATCTTCAGTATTGCGACCGCGTGAGTTCGTGATATATGTAATTCCATGGCGTGAACGGTAATTCGTGTTTTTATCTCTGTATTTTAATACCACCGAAAACAATGGTAAAAAATAATGAATAATGAATCACAATGAATAATTTAAATTAAAAAAGGCGCATTCCTTTTTCAAAATTACCCGGACGCAAATCTGTGACTTTCATTCCCATGGCCTTTAATAGTATTCATATACATACTTGTAGATTTCCCCTCATCATCCGACATGATCTGCACAAGTATTTTACTCCAAGACGACTTTACAATAACTAGACAAGATCACAGAGGAGGTTGGACAGCTAATTAGCGAGTTGTCACGTGAGCTCTCGACCAATGAGATCGCTCTATTTTCCATCGTGTTATCTGCAGAATTTGGACAGAAAAATTTGCATTCGACGGAAAATAAATCGGAAAAAAATATTAATATTACAATTTTCTTTCAAAATCTCAAGTTTTGTAGTACTACTACTAAAGATCTGGCGATATCTGCAAAAATCTCTGAGGTAAACTTTATTTTCAATGTTATTTTGATGTTTGAAGTTAGTCGACTCCCCGCGACGTGTTTACTCAAGTCTAAATATGTTTACGATGTTTAAAATGAAATATATAGAATTCCCATGGTTCGATTTTCTTCATTTTTGGTAGTCGTCAAGAAAAATATATAAGCTTTAAATTTGCTGGAATGATCCCGGTGATCCCCCGGCAGTTTTCGAGATATTGACCGTTGAAGTGACTATTGTCAACTCGACGTTCGCTAAAATGGCGTCTAATACCGTGGAAAGAATTTACGCCATCAAAGATGATATTTTCAATGAATTTTTGTTAAAGTGCTAAAATATTATTTAGAAGACTTAGGAGTTGTTTTAATATTTTTGTAGAATTTATATCTGTGCGATTTTCAAAGTTTTGTTGTCTTTGGCCGACGCGACTGGATCGTGTACGTATTTCAAGACGAGCTGATCGCCTGATCCTGGGGTTTTTGCATAGATATCTATGGGTTTTTGTGGCAAATCGAGCTGCGGAATCCTCAGCATGGACAAATCAGTGTCATAACAGCCCATTTCAAACCATCAGAGAGCTCCACTTGTTTTAAAGCAATAAAACAAGTTTTTATTGTATTATCATATGTATCATATATAATTAATATAAACAAATTAAGGGAGTGGTCATTATTTTTGGAGAGGGGGGTTGGTAAATGGGGAAAATAAGGATTAAAAACTTCGTTGACCCCTCCTCTCCAGACTGAAGGCAAACTTTTTGTGCCTCCCCCCTCTTAAAATAGAAACTTTTCTGCCCCCCCCCAGTGTGGATTGAAAAATTAACAGCAATGAAACAGGCGTGCATTGCAGGTAAAGTTAGATATTAGGACAATCTGTTTAAATCTAGCTCATGATGTTTTACCCTGGTGAATATGATTCAACCATATATGATTAAAAAATATATATTATGTGTTACTACTGCAATGCAACATTTGTCCTACCATAACCCTAACCCATGGCCCGTCTTCATACAGCGAAATGATTTGAACAAAGGGCTTTTTTTAAGAACTTGTCTGGAGGTAGGCATCTACAAAAAGGGACCATACTATACTGAGTGTGGAGAGATGACAGATGGTTGTTGGTGACAAAAAGTTTGGT